GTCATAAGTAACACATATCATTCTAAAATATATAGTAGTAATATATTTTTTTGTAAAAAAGTAAACTGAATTTATAGTTTTCTCATTAATTTTAAAATTTAAGAATAATTTCTTAACAAGCACCCGTGTAATACACGAGTGTTGTACTAGTATGTTTATAAGGGTTAATGTAGTGATATATTGATATTCTAATATATATAATGATTCTCCTTATATATTATAAAAGATGAGTGTAACACTATAAAAAATATTTATTACAAATATTATATTTTTCAAAATAAAATAATATTAGTATTATCATAAAACAAAAAATAATATTAACATAAGCATTAAATTTTTTTTTTGTATATATAAAATACCAACAAATGATAATATAAGATAATAATAACAACTCATTGAAGTCTTATCCCTCTGTTTCTATTAAACTCTACTAGTACTAATACCCATGTACAACATGGGTGTTGACTGTTGAGTTAATGAATATATGTATAAAGTTATTTATGTCTAATACCAAACCTAACTCCAGAGCAAAAATAATATATCGAAGCATAGATTTTCGCCATGTCAATATCCGAAACGTGAGAATCTGCCACCTATGTTCTAACACGTTTTAAATTAATATTAATATATAGAAGTGGATTTCTATCATATCAATCATGCCTTGTGTTTTCGTCGAGGGATGCACGTTTTCAATATTTTCTTAAGAAATGTAATTCATTCATATTAGTTCGGTTTGGCCATATTTTGACTCACTCTCAGGAGTATTGAATAGTTAAATTAATTTGAGGTTTGATTATTTCTAAATATTATTTGTACTAGTACAACTCTCGTGTATTACACGGGTGTTTGCAAAAAATTTTTCTTAAAATTTAAAATTAATGAGAAGTAATAGTTGAAAATTAAAATACTTTTTATAAATGTATATATATATTATTATATATTTTAGTATAACACTTGTTACTTGTGCGACTTACATTTGTTATATTATAACAATTTTTTTTAACTTATAACATATAACTATATTAAACATGAATATATTAATTGAAAAATAATTTATTTTTTTAATTAATTTTAATAAATATTTTTATTATTGTAAAGATAAATATAATTTATTTATTTTATATATACAATATGGATATCAAATCGAAACTCATCAAAAGATGATTAATTTGATACGTTATATATGTAAAATCGATAAGAAATACAAAAGTTGTCAACTTTTTTAAAATATATTTACAATTCAATAGTTATAATAAGAAATGATATTAGAATACAATTAATACATCTAAAATGATCATAAATAAATCAACATATTTTTGGTAATCCAAACCTAATTAGTTTTGGATTTGAATTAAATTAAAATTTATCCAAGCCAAATAACAAAAGATGAAATTTTGACACCTGGGATTCCGAAGCATGCGAGCCTGCCACTTAGGCTCAGCACATTCAAGAATTATATATAAGGGGGGATATGGATACTATTTGATTTTATTTGATCTAAGGTATTCTTGAATTTTAGAGAAGTATATTTTACAACAATGGAAACAAGTAAATAAATTGGATGATTTAGATTCATTTTCTATCATAAACTCTTAATTACGAGATATCGCATTATCGATTTGGTTACTGATCTGAGCTTCAGACTGTCTACGTCGAGAACTTTTAAACTTGTTATGCATGTTAATAGAAATCATAATTTAAGTCGTTCGATATATATGAGACAATTCAATCAAAAATGTTAACCGACGATATTCTATATATATCATATCTAATTTAATTTGGTCTATTTTAGGCAAAAGGTCAACTCTTTTATTTTTTTTATTTATTATTATTTTTTTTTTTGTTATGATTACAAGGAGTAGGTTCAAATAGTCAAACATAAAATTGAGTGGTCAAACATTAATTTCTCATAACCATGAAATCATTATTTTGAAAAGAAAAACAAAAAAATACCAACGTAGGAACATAAAAAACGCTTCACCTTCCAATTCCATTCCATAGTGTCATAATATTTGAAGTTCAAATAAAAAAACCTTTCTATAAATTTCTCACCCTAACTAACTTCTCTCTGACCTCTGCCCATTATCTCTCTCTCTAATTCCCAAGAAGGAGAAGGAGAGGGAGAGAAATAGGTCGCAACTCGCAAAAGGACAAAATATTTACTTTAAAATTATTTTGCTTTTGTTTGTGTGCGTGAGAGAGAAAGATGGGTGGGTGTACGTCGAGGCATGAGGTGCTGAAGAACGCCGGCGAGGCTCCATTGCCAGCTCCGGCGAACGACCACCACGCTGAAGTGGCGCCGCCGGCCGTGTCAGAAGAAGAGAATGATGAAGCTAAGCGGCAATCACTTGGCAAATTATTCAACGAGGTAAGGAATACATGGACGTTGTTGATAAATTTATTTTTATAAATAAAAAATATATATATATTTGGTTTTCTTATTATTTTATAATAATTTATATTATTATTTTATTTAAAATTCACTCGTCCCATTTATATTAAACTTTGTCCCATAAGCTTATATGCTTACCAAACACATTCTGTCAAATAAACTATAAGCTGACTTATACGCTTACCAAATACATTCTGTCAGCCTATCTCAAATTTTGTCCCATAAATTATCAGAGCAAAGATGACAAAAGCTCGTCCGAGCAAGTACAACAACAAGACGTTAAGCCCCAAGAATCCGCCGCCGATCATGTTGTCGAGAAAGAAAACAAAGAAGCCTCTAAACCGGAAGCTCCTGAAATCGAGAACAAAGAAGCATCTAAAATTGAAGCTCCCAAAACCGAGAACAAAGAAGTAGATGTCAAAGAAGTAGCTAAAACTGAAGCTCCCGAAGAAAAAGAAAGCAATGCCGCTAAAACAGAAGAAGCTCAAGAAGGAAACGAGGCACAATCTGTTGAGAAAGAAAACAAAGAAGAATCTAAAACCGAGGACAAAGAAGAAGTAGGTAAAACCGAAGCCCCCCAAGAAACAGAGAACAAGGCTGCTAAAACAGAAGCTCAAGAGAAAAACGAGCCACAATCTGCCGAAGAAAAGCCCGTTGAAGAGAGCACAAAGCCCGAAACAACATCTTTAGAGAAAGCTGAGGAGAAGAAAACAGAAGAGGACAAATCCGAGGCGGGCTCAACCGAAGCTAAGACGACCGATGAGAAGAAGCCTTTGTTTAAATTATGGTTTTAACTTTTAAGATATATTACGCATGCTAGTCGACATGGTTTGACCGGACTTTGACTTACTATCGGACTCGATT